AACTTTTAAGTAAGCATCAACCTTTAATCATGTATTTACCTCCAGAAACCACAGTGGGTATAGTTTTCTTTCATAATTTCCACTCAGCCAGCCTGCCTATGCTGGTGTACTTCCCATGCACCTTGCCTCAGGGACCACCCTCCTTGGAGGGGCCACCCTTCATCCTGGCCCACCTATGCCAGTGTGCCTTCCTTGCACCCTGCCCCACAGACAGCTGCCGGCCTGCTGCCCTCACCAAGAAGCTCCCCACTTCCTGGACCTAGTATTGCTGTTGATATTTGGCTCCCACCCCTTCTCCCAGAACCATGGACTGCACTGGATTACCTATGCTGGGTTGATGGGAGACTCAGTAACCCCTCACTCAAAAGAAGACCTCAGCAGGTTCCAGTAAGTGTGGTGAATTTGTCCCTAAAATAGAGGCCTTCAGTGGGTAAATAGGAACAGTAGTAAAGCTCCCTCCAACTGTAAGACTTTGGCAAGCTTGGCAAGAGTGTGGGTGATTCCCTCTTCCACACCGAGAATATCAGGCAGGTCGAGGAGTGTGTCAATTGACCTCCCCTAACTTGGAGAAAATTGAAAGGGCTTATGAGACACTTAGTGACACAGTAGGGCCTCAGCCGACACAAACACTGTAAATAGAGAGATCTGGTGACCTGGAATAACCTAACATAGTAACAGCAGGAACTAAGGGTTTGACCTACATCAATACTCTAGGCTAGTCAGCCCAGGATGAATATAGGACTCACCCAACAAGCCCTGCAGGAGAAATACAGGTGACTGGCATTCTTCTGTATCACACAAACATCAACCACACAATAGAACCCTAAGATACACACTACTGACAGTTGAGACTACTGGGATTGAAAGACCAAATATTAGCCCAAAAGGTGAAAATGACAAAACTAAAACGCAAAATGCAATCTCAAACATCTAGTCCACCAGGAGCAAGTACAGGCAACATTGAAATAGAGGACTTTAAAAGTCATACACCAGAAATCTCTGAAAAGATAGCAAATGAAATAAAGAAACAAACCCATATAGAGGAAATCAAGTTAGAAATAGTTTCTCATGTAAAGACAGAAATAACAACTTTAGTAAAGGAGTTCTCAATGCAGCCACAGAAGACACAGATTAAAAAAAATACAGGAACATGAGACATTGATTGAAACCTTGAATGAACAATATAGGAAATAAGCAGAATGCATGAAACAAATTCAAAGAGATACCCAAGAAACAAAAATTCTATTGGAAGCTGACAAAACCATTTAAGTGAAGCTTAGGATAGAATTTCGGATCAGGACAGGTTTGAGGACAGGTTTGCTGTTAGTGATCATGAAAGGATAGAACTTTTAAAAATAACAAAGCAGCATGAAATGACAATCCAGCAGCTTCAAGATGATGCCAAGAGAAACAATGTAAGACTAATAGGCATCAATGAAAATGCAGGAGTCAATGTGAATGACACTGACAAGCTATTCACAGAAGCAATAGCAGAAAATTTCCCAAACATGAGGAAAAATCTGATACATACATAAGTGAGGCATATAGAATGCCAAACAGTCACAACCAACATAAATCTACACCAAGACATATAATAATTAGGATTGCAGACATACCACATAAAAACAGAATACTGAAAGCTGTTACATAAAAGATACAACTCACCTATCAAAGAAAGCCCATTAGAATCACAGCAGACTTTGCAGCACAAACCTTCAAGTTAAGACAAACTTGTGGTAAAGTATTTCAGCCCTGAAATAAAACAACTTTCAACCTAGCCTGATGTATCCAGAAAAACTATATTTCAAATTTAAAGGAAAAACAAAATACTTCCATGACAAAGAACAACTGAAGAAATTCATGTTCACCAAACCAACCCTAGAAAGAGTACTGAAAGAGATAGAGATAAAAATGACCACAATCTCTAGAAATGACCAGGCAGGGCAAGCAATTAAACAAGGGGGAAAAGCAGAAAACAAACAATTGGAATATAACATGACAAAGTTGAGCCAGTACATACCAATTATATCCATAAATATAAATGGCCTCAGCTCATGTATCAAAAATAAAAAGGTTGACAGAATGGGTCTAAAAACAGGATCCCACAATATGCTGTATATGAAAAACACATCTAACTCTACAGGAAACTCATAGATTAAAAGTCAAAGGACGGAAAACAGTATTTCATGCATCAGGAACCAAGAACAAAGCAGGGGTAGCTTTTCTGTTTGCAGACAATGTGAACTTCAAACCTAAAATGATTAAAAGAGATAAAGAAGGTCACTACATAGTTGTTAGTGGAAAACTTCAAGAAGAAGAACTAACAATCATAAATATATATGCACCAAATACAGGAGCACCCGACTATATAAGACAAATACTAATGAACATGAGAAACCAAATACATCAGAACACAATTGTAGTAGGGGACCTTACTACCCCACTGTGACAGAAAGATAGATCAACTAGACAAAAAGTCAGCAAAGAAATAATAGAACTGAATCATACCTGTGTAAATGAACTTAGTAGATGCTTACAGAGTGTTCCACTCAATCACATCAGATCATACATTCTTCTCAGCTGCACATGGGATGTTCTCCGAAAAAGACCATCTATTAATCCATAAAACACCGAAATTATCCCATGCATAATATCTGACCATAGTGCAATAAAATTGGAAATTAATGGCAAAAGAAATCGCAAAACTTGCATAAATACATGGAAATTATAACAACCTTCTGAACAACCTGTGGGTTACAGGTGAAATTAAAGAAGAAATAAAGCAATACCTACAATTCAATGAAAATGCAGATACAACATACCATAACCTATGGGACACAATGAAAGCAGTCCTAAGAGGGAAAGATATAGCAATAAACTGTCACATCAAGAAAACAGAAAGATCATAGATAAACAACCCAATGCTCCATCTCAAGCTTCTAACAAGGGAAGAGCAAGTCAAAGCCAAAGCTCATAGAAGAGAGGAAATTGTAAAGATCAGAATGGAAATTAATGCAATTAAATTTAAAAAATACAAAGCATTAAGGAATCAAAGAGCTGTTTTTTAGAGAATAAGCACAACTGATGAACCTCTAGCCAACCTTATCAAGAAAAAGAAAAAAAAATCAAATTCACACAATAAGGACTGAAAAGAGAGAAATTACTACAGAGCCCATGGAAATTCAAAGATCATGAATACCTACTATGAAAATCTCTACTCACATAGGGTGAAAAACACAGAGGAATGGACAGATTTCTAGAAACATGTGAATTACCAAAGCTGAATCAAGAAGATATAACAATGTTGAATAACCCAATGCCAGCTACTGAAGTTGAAAATGTGATTTAAAACTTACCAACAAAGGAAAGTCCAGGTCCTAATAGATTCATGGCTAAATTCTACAAAAACTTAGAGAATATTTGACACCAATATTCCTTAAATTCTTCATTGAAATTGAAAGGGAAGCAATTCTCCCTAACTCATTTCTGGTGGCAAGTATCACTCTGATACCAAAACCAGAGAAAGACCCAGCCAGAAAGGAGAACTATAGGTCAACCTCACTAATGAACATTGATGCAAAGATTCTCAATAAATCCTGGCAAGTAGAATGCAGCAAATCATCAAAAAGATTGTACACCATGATCAAGTGGGATTTATTCCAGGAATGCAGGAATTGTTTACCATACAAAAATCAATAAATGTAAAATACCATATCAACAGAGCCAAAACCAAAAAACACATGATTATCTCAGACACATATAAAGGCTTTGATACAGAAACATGGAATAGATGGTATTTACCTCAGTCGGATGAAGGTCATCTATGACAAACCAACAGCAAGCATTATACTAAATGGACAAAAACTGAAAGCCTTTACTTTAAAATCAGGAGCAAGCCAAGGATGTCCACTATCACCATTCCTATTCAACATAATTCTGGAAATATTAGCCATAGCAATCAGACAAGGGAAAGAAATAAAAGGAATAAATATAGGAAAGGAAGAAGGTAAATTATCATTATTTGCAGATGAAATGATACTTTATATAGAAGACCCAAAAAACCTCATTAATTGACTACTAGAATAAACAAATTCAGCAGCATAGCTGGATACAAAGTCAACACTCAAAACTCAATAACATTCTGTGTGTGGGGGGGTGTGGGGGTACAAATTCTGGCTTCACAAATAGGACGTTTTTAAAAAACTTTTTCCAAATTGTAACCAAGAAATATATTATTGTATTTAGGATTTCATGCATTCATTCATTTAATAAATCTTTAAGTATTCACTGGGCAGCAGGCTTTGGACAGGGGATTCTTCTGAGTTTGTTAAACAAAGATGATTCCTTTTTCTCTGAAATACCATAGTTTTGGCAGTAGACACATAGATGGTAATCACCTGAGAACCTCACTGTGCCCAGCCTCTTGGTGTCCCTCGTACTAAGACAATTCATGTCTGACACTTGCGACTCGAAGCTTTCCAGGGATAGCTGTAGACTTTGTGTACCTGATTCTTCATGGAAAGGGCAGTTCTCTTCCTTGAAGATTGTAGAAGTCAGTGTAGCCCAGGGTTGGTGCCCTTGTGCCAGTGCTTATCTCCACAGTGCAAAGGACTCGGCTAAGCTGATTGAACCTGACCCCAATCTTTGTGGACACTTAGGGATGGGGGTGGAGAAAGAAGCGCACCCTATCTATGGTCTTAAGGAGGTCAGTATCTCTGGGGTAGGTCTTATCTTGAAGTGCTAAAAAAGTTTAAACCAGGCGTGGTGGCACACACCTGTTATCCAGCACTCTGGAAGGCAGGAGGATTGCAGGTTTGAGGCCCAGACAGGACAACTAAGCAATTGATGAAGATACTGCCTCAAAATGAAGAATAAAGAAGGACTAGGGTTGCAACTCTGTGGGAAGACCCTGGGTTCAAACCTCAATGCAACACAAACCAAACAGTAAGCTCAGTCAGTATTCCTGAGCACCTGTTCTTTTCCAGGTGCAGTTCTAGGTGGGCAGATATATCAGTCAACAAGAGGAGAAGACCTCTGTGCTGTGGAATACCCTGCTTCCTGTGTCTTCACTGAACTCAGCCCAGAGGAAAAAACAAGCACAGAACTGGTCCCTGCAGCTGCTCAGTGGAATGGAGTAAAACAGACATAAAACCTTCTGTGAAGGTAAGCTTTCTCCACCCCTTCTGTGCCCATGTGTTTCCTTAGAGCTGGGGGCTCTGATCTCCTGACCACCCCCTGCCACCATAGCTATGGGTGACAGGAGTGCTGGGGGCCCCAGCCTCATTCCCTTCCCCTTCTTGTTTCTGGACTGGTGGAATCAACATCAGCATGATGGCCATAGCACTGAAACTTCTATACAGACTTAATGCAATTCCAATGAGAATGGCAACAGCATTTTCTGCAGAACTAGAGAAAGAATATCCTAAGACTCACATACAAGCAGAAGAAACCCAGGATAGGAAAAGTAATCTTGAGCAAAAAGAGCAAAGTGGGAAGCATCACAGTCCCTCATTTCAGGTTGTATTGCAGGGTCACAGTGATAAAATCACCTGGTACTGGCACAAAAACAGACACATGGACCGATGAACTGGACGGAGAATGCAGAAACAACCCCAGGAACATATGTGTACCTGATATTTGACCAAGGCACCAAATATGTACACTGGGAGAAAGAGACTTTTCAGCCAGTGGGATTGGGAAAACAGGCTATCTGTATGCAGAGGACGATCCAAATCTGCAGCCCTGACGATGCAGTAAAATAAAATTAGGGGTCAAAGACCTAGACATTAAAATAGAAACATGGAATCTTCTGAGAGATAAAATAGGTAATCCTTGATGATACAGGCATAGGCAAGGACATTTTGAGCAGAAATCAAATTGCACAAGAAATAAGTAATATCAAGAATTGACAAATGGAGGCTGGGCATATAGCTCAGAGGCACAATGCCTGCCTGGCAAGTTCAGGATTCCAAGTTCAATTTCATACTAAAAAAGAATAAAATAAAATTGACAAATGGGATTATATCAAATTAAAAAGTTCTATAAAATAGAAGAGAGAAGTGCCAGTACTACTACAAACTACAAATTTTATTAGTTTAGAGATATTCCAATATACTTATTCTAACTGATTACATTTATACTAGTAGTCTATCTTTGTTGAAAAGATAAATTTGTTATTATCTGTTTGTTTCTTTATTATAAGAATCTACTTATATCTTGTATTCTGAGTAATTACTTTGATGATAATGATACACACAGAATAATAACCATTGTTATTCTCTTATTTGATTATGAAACTTTATTTTTTATAACATATAAAATACTTTTAAATGGCTCTACACAGTGAGGGAAACAACCAATAAAGTAAAGAGACAACCTACAGAGTGGAAAAACTTGGCCAGGGAATCGGCAGAGGACTAATATCAAGATTATATAAAGAACTAAAAGGAAAATTAGAACCCCCAACATAAAGAAAAATCAATAAAAAACATAGGCAATTGAAAGGTATAGACATTTCTCAGAAGAAGTACAAATGGCCAATAAGTTCATGAAAAAATGAACAAATCTGGCCATTAAAGAAATTTAAATTAAAATAACACTGAGATTTCATCTTACTCCAGAAAGATTGACTATCATCAAGAAATCAAATAATAACAACTGCTGGTAAGGCTATAGAGAGAAAGAAACCCTTCTACATTGTTGGTGGGAAACTCAACTAGCAAAACCTCTGTAGAAATCAATATGGAAGTTCCTCAAAACACTGAAAACAGAAATTCCAGTCAGTCTAGCTGTGGGAGACAACTTTGGTGACTTCCCTTGAATGTAAAACAATTACCGTGATTTTGATTATTTAGAGACTTATTTCCTTATACTGATATGTAGAGAGCTGGCTAAGGTATTTCCTTCTCTCTTCAATTGGCTCTAAGCATTGCCAGTAAGACTAGCTGAGGTGCTGGTATGTAATCTCTAAAGCCAACAGACAGTCCTGTTTCTTCCAATACTGTTCTCTGTACCAGATATGAGCACGGTGGGATATTAGAGCCAATAGCTCCGAGAATGTCAACTGGGTATGAACCTCAAGGAAAAGAGGCTAGGTAGGCCTGCCCAGGGCACAAGAGTTTACATATCAAAAACCAAAGTGACAGCCTCCCAAAAACAATCTGTTGCTACCCTAATTAGATTATGTAGATTGATCCTTCTACATATCTCTTTCTAGCTGACTAGCCAGCTTAAGTTACTAAATGCTGGGAGAGACCTAGGATCAAGGTCTTTGTCTGCATGTCCTCATGGGATTGGATTTGGACTCCTGGGCTGCCCTTGACTTGGAATAGGCCTCTGTGTCTTCACTCTTGCCGTGGGTTGCATGGGTAATGGTAGATTGGAATTAACCTGCTGGGATTCCAATAACGTCTCAATAGGATTATAAATATAACTTTTTGGACTGTGAGGAAGACTAGAGAGAGGATTACAATACTTGGATGACTGAACTCGATATTTGGGTTTACAATAAGCACACCTATGGAACTGTGAGGTAGGCCAGGTTTTTTGCCTTAAACCACTACATTTTGGGTTCATTTTGTTAGGCTACAATGTGTGCCAAATATGGTGGTTGATGTTAAGACTGCTGTTCCGAAAAGACTGCACCTTTGAAACCTGGGCTCTAAAGAAATGGATTCTACAGTGTCCTGACTTGATTAGATAGGGAAGTGATGTTACCTCAGAGCTCTGGAATGTCACGGGATCAACCTTCTAGACTCCTTTTCCCATCCTGGTAGCAAAAATAAAGTTAGACATGTCAGCTCTGGCCATCCAAATTCCACCTTCTTATAGGTGGACTTTTTTCTTGGATCTCATGAAGTCAATTATCTTTTTATTACCACATTTTTGAAGTACATAATGATTACATTCATTGTGGGGAGTTGGCACAAGTATATAATATATCTTAATCCTTTTTACTTCTCCCTTCTATCACTCTCCCTCCTTCTCTTGGTCCCTTTCCCATTTGCCTTAGTTACTTTCTCATTGCTAGGACAAAGTACTGGGCACACGTAAGTTAAAAGGAGAAAGGTTTATTTTGGCTGACAGTTGGCAGAGGTTTCAGTTCACAGTTGACTGGCTCCAAGCCAGGGTAACAGGGCAGAGGGCAAACAGTCCACAGCAGAGCAGGAAGGAAGAAGCACAAGCCAGCTCTCCTTGGCCTCTTTATTCTGTTCGGTCTGCAAGCCCACAGAATTGTATTACTCATACCCAGGCTGGGCCTTCCCAATGTCCATACCCAGAACTATGCTAAACCAACCAGTGGACTGATCTAGTTGTCATATGTTCTAATACAGTATCATACACCCATGATCCAGCCACCTCCCAAAGCCCCACCTATCAGTACATGAGGCTTTGGAGGTCATCTAAATATAAGCCATAACACCATTTGCAAATGATACAAATTCCCTTTTCCAAATAACTATCTTGTATTTGCTCTTTATTTATACTTTGGGTTTGTCATATAGGATGAGTCATTTGATATCTAAGTTTGAGAGTCTGATTTATTTCACTTAATATTATTTTCTCAAGGTGCATCCATTTTCCTACACATTTAGCGTTCTTTATGGCATGGTAGTACTCCATTGTGTATATACATTTTCTTTATCCATTCACCTATTGATGGATGTAGAATATACTTCAAAAATGTAACTGTTATGAGTTGTGCTTCTATAAACATGGGTAAGTGCATGCCATTGTAATGTGATGTGTTTAACTCTCAGGAAGATACCTAATGTGGTAATAGCTGGTATTGTAACGCCAAATATTGAGTTTAGTCAACCAACTATTGTAATCCTCTTTTTAGTTTTCCTCACAATCTAAAAAGTTATATTTGTAATCCCATTGAGACATTATTGGAATCCCAGCAAGTTAATTTTGATCTACCAATGCAACCCACCCATAGCGAGAGGAAATACAACAATACATATTCCAAGTTAAGGGCAGCAAAGGAGTCCCAAATCCAATCCCATGAGGACATGTGGACAAAGGCTCTGATCCTAGGTCTCTCCCAGCATTTATTATCTTGTGAAGGAGGGTGGTGGTTCAGGGATGAGTGATAATCAGGATGGTGGGAATTAGGTGAGTAACTTGAGCTGGCTGGCCAGGTGCAAGATTGGCATCTCTGTAAATTACAGAGATAAAGACATGCAAAAGGATAAATGTACATAATCCAATTAAGGTAGCAGTGGAATTGTTTTGGGGGGTTATAGAGAGAAAGAAATACTCTAGCCAGCTTTTTACATAACAGTATAAGGAAATGAGTCTCCAAATAATCAAAGTCACAGTAATTATTTTGGATTCAAAGGGAGTCACTGGAGGTGTCTCCCACATGGCTTAGCTGGAAAGTCAGGTTCCAGCTATTTCATGAAGTCAACCCTGAGCAGGAGCTCTTGCCTTATCTGGAGAGTCAACTCAGTTTGGAGGAGAATCCATTACTAGGTTCAATCATGTGGCTGTTGTCTCTGAACACACGGCCTGGTCACATTGTTTCTTAAATGGTGGTACTTGTCTTTTGTTCCTGCGACAAAATACCTGAAACCCACATTTGTGGGACAGAAGTTTATTTGGCTCACAGGTTTTAGATGATTGAGTCCATAGCTGACTGACTCCATGGCAGGAAGGAAATGATGGAGGGATCTGGTGGAGGAGAGGATTCACATTACAGTGGCGAGGAAGAGAGAGCAAAAGGAGGAGCCAGAGATGGAGATGCACCTTTCCCAGTGAGATGCACCTGCCACCAGTGACTGCATTCTCGGACCTCCTAATGGCACACAGGGCTCTGAACTCCTTAGCAGATTAATTCACTGATGAGCATAGCACCCCTGATGAGCATAGCATCACTGATGACCCAGCCACCTTCCCAAAGCCCAGTCTCTGAACACATCAGAGTTTTGGGGTGAAAGGTTCTTGCTTCAGTAGAAATTATGGTGGTCTAATGATGCAGAAGGCCAAAGCAGGAACACCTACCACTTCCTTCTTTTTCCCCAGCTCCTGTTTACAGGCGAAGAAAATTCCAATCGGCTGCTCTAGAGTCAGCAATGTCTGCCCTAAGCACCACCCCAATCGGAAATTATATGTATATCCCATGCCCCACGTTTTCGGCAGAGAAAGCTAGGCCCCGGTGGTCATGGAGTTCTCTCCGCATCCTTAGAATAAAGGCTATTTTTACTTTATATTCTCTCTTTTATCATGCCATGGGGGATATTCAAAGTCTGAACCAGAACAGCCTCCTTCAGGATGAGAATGCAAGAGAGATGTAACACCCAGCATTCTTCATATAATCTAAATCTGGATCTGATGTCAGATCGGCAAGTTCAGTCTACACTCAGGAAATTATTCCACAAGGGTATGAATGCCAGGAAGTGAGGATCATTGCCTGTTGGAGTAAGAGCTGCCTGCCATACTGGGAAACTTGTGAGAAATATGAATTTCTTGGCTCCATTATTACAGATTTACTGAAGCAAAGCCTCTAAAAGTTGGGGAATGAATATTGCTTTAACAAGCCCCCTAAACATGCTTGGATTTAGTGACCATTGTCTCAGAATTGGGGTTGGTGAACTTTATCTTAGGCATTATAAGCCTATCACTGTCTCACTACTCAACCCTGCCATATAGTGACAAAGTATAATAGACAACGTGTAAATGAATGATCAACTTTGTTCCCACAAAACTTTATTTACAAAAACAGACAATGTATGAGGTATGGCTGCCAGGCAGTCGTTTGTCCAGCTGTGCTAAAGAATAATAGAAGTTTTATATAATAAGAATAGTTCGGATCTTTGTTTCTCTCTCTCCTTCTCTCTCTCCCTCTCTTGTTTTTCTCTTTCATTCCGGGAGAGTCTGAGATAGTGCTACTCCCTAGCTCCGGAGTGATTACAAAGTGCAGAAGAGAAGGTTGCATATATATGGCTGAGTTATCTGAGGCTGTTTTTTGTGGCCCACAAAGTCATAAGCTCTTTGAGACAGGCTAGAAACATGGGCTTTAGGGTTGGATATAAGACTGAAGGCTACCATAGTTGTGAATATGATAAGTTATTGTAACCCAAATATTGTAATTCCTTTTTCTGTCCTCCTTGAAGTCTAGGAAGTTTATAACTGTAATCCCATTGAAACATTATAGGAATCCCAGCAAGTTGTTTCCAATCTACCATTTCCAGTGTAACCCATGGTGAGAATAAAGACACTAAGACATATTCAAAGTTACAGGTAGCCAAGGGGTCCTGAGTCCGATGCAGGTGAGGATACACAGAACAAAGGCCTTGATCCAAGTCCTCATCCAGAATTTACTATCTCATAAGGAAGGGAGTGGCTCAAGGACGAGTGTTGGTGAGATTGGTGGGAATTACATGAGCAGTGTGAGCTGGGCTGGAGAGCAGGCACCTCTGCAATATGCAGGGAGAAGTACAGAAAGACCAACCTGTGAACTCAACTGAGGAAAGTATTTGAATGATATACGAGGCTGTTGCTTTAGTTTCTGATATGCAAACATTTGTGCCCTGGGAAGTCAGAGCATCCTGTCTTGTGGCTGTCATGTCTCTGTGCTAAACCATTTATAGGGAACATGATGTAAGGAAACAGGAAACTACTGGCTGGCTTTAAGGATTACATATCAGTACCTTTGCATTGCTTAGAGCCAGTTGAAGGGAGAAGAAAATAGCTTAGCCAGCTCTGTACATATCAGTACATGGAGATAGGGCTCCCTTTAACTAATGTTGAAGCAATTGTTTTGCATTCACGGAGAGTTGCCCAGGTCATCTCCTACAATAAGTTACTTAGATGCGCTGTGCCTCAGTTTCCTCATCTGTAAAATAGAGATAACAAAAACATATACTTCACATTGTAGTCATTAGGAGCTGTTCTAACTATCCACCCTGTGTGACAAGTCACCCATAATTCTACTCTTAAAGCAGCAACAGGGGGCTGGACCTTTGCTCCAGCAGTGCCACCCAGAGCTGTGACCCTGGGCTGGTGAGATTAGGTTGCACCTACCAGGGATTGCTCTGCTTCTCACCAGTTTGCCAGTTGGTGCTGGCTGTTGGATGGGAGATTACATGGGGATGTCACTGGCACCCTTTGGTTCTCTTCTGCATGGCCTTTCCATATGGCACAGGGTTGCAGCTGAGAATTGTGGCTGGTTTCCAAGAGGGGACATTTCAAGCACAATCAGAGTATCATCTATGCAGTGAGTCACAGGCCCCGCTCAGACTCCAGAGCAGCAGTGTTCAAAATTTCACAATCATTTTTAAGCCACACTAGGGGCAAATAAAGTTACTCTTGGAAGTACTTGTTGTGCCTCTTGGGTTATGACAGACAGCAAGCACTGGACCCTGGCTGTAGGGAGCAGAGACTGTCTGCCTGCTCTTGGTGTCCTGCTGCATATTGCTGAAAGGTCCCACAGAGGTGCTTCTCCTCCCTGTGCTCTTCAGCCATGTGCTAGGTGTGTGACATCAGCCCTCATAGCTCTCCAGCTTCCTCAGAACTGTGCAGGCCTAGGGCCTTGCAATGAGCTAGGGAGAAAAGATTGGGGGAAGGGGACAGGAGGAAGTTTGAGGTGACCTTGGTGAACTCCTATGGCCTTGTCCATGTCAGGGTCTGAGAATGGGGTTCTCAGTCACAGAAAAGAACACGCCTGTGAGTAGAGGAGGGTCAAAGCAGCCTGGAAGAAAGGCCTTCGCAGGCAATTTGTTGGAGATGCCTGTTCACTCTGCCCCTCGGTGGGGGGAGGGAGGGGATTTGAGAAGGATGCCATGCTGCCTTCACTTCCCACATAGCATGCTTTTGGAGAATGAGAAATTCCCATCTTTCCCAATGTGGTAATTGAGTGTCGCATTGGTAAGTTGGTTTCCACTAGGCGTGAAGTCTTATTCCAAACCAGATGAAGTAAGAGGGGTGGCCGGGAAAGAGCCTGGGCAGGGTATGAATGAAATGAGTGGAGGGCATGAGACAGTGGGCAGGGTAGGACTGAGGACCTGGGAGCGAAGGCCCTATGAGGGGGACAGGGAGTGAAAGTTGTGTCCATTGAGGGGCAGAGAGGCGATTGTTAATGGATCTTTACACTGTTAAAGACAGTTAAGTTAGGCAGAGATAGTATAAGCAGTCAGAAGGGGCTGGGCCCTCAAAGGAGCCAGTACAGAAGAAGAGGGATCCATTGCTACTGTGGGGAGACATATCCTTTTAGGATCAGGCCTCAAAACAAAAAATGAGAGGAATATACCCACCTACTTCCCCTAGAGATAAATGACAGTGACTGATAGATATTCTAAATAGGTTATCATCATCTTGGAAAGCTAGGAAGAGCTCGACCTTCTCCTGCCTCCAACAGCAGGACCCATCGCCTCCAGGAAGATGCAATACATCCATAAACTGGATCCATGCTTTTTTCCTGTAGACGAGGCTGTGCAGTTTTCACCCCAAGGGTATCACATCTCTAAACTTCAAACACAGGCACCTGATTTGCATATTGACCCAGCCTGCTCACCAGGTCACCCAACAGAGTAGCAACACCCATCATGGACTATCTGTCTTGAGCACACCCTGAAGACCACACAGATACCCCAGCCCCAAATTGTGATGCCCCGCCTCACATGCCTACACCCTCTGCTGGGTATGTTCACCTCTGATCTGCTTCACAGTCTGCTGCACCTCTCACTAACACATCCTGAAATGCTTTTCTGTGATGAAAGCATACCTACTCCGTGGGACACTTATTTGGGCAAGTTGAAGTCTCTGTGTCCTCTTTGAGGAGACCTCCTTGGACCCTTAGTGACAGATTCACAGAGGTGCCTTTAGGAACTAACCAGAAATCCCACAGAGATTTTATGCACGAGCTGGGCTGAGTACTAAGAGCACTAGTGCTCCAGCCCAGGTAGAACTCTACATGATTAAGGCAGGAGACTGATCATAGAAAATCAGGACGGCATCCAGTCAGACCTAAGGAAGGATTTAGGGACCAGGCAGACTAGATGGCACCAAAACAATGGAAGGAAATTCAAAGACTTTTTTTTTTAAATCTAGAGTTCCTGAAAAGAAGAATTAGTTGCTTTCTTCTGATGCCCTCTGCAGACCACATTTCTCTGAAGTGGGTAGGCCAGGGAGGCATTCTTCTCACCCTGGGATTTCTCTTGGGCCTGGCAGACCAAGGCCTTCTAATCTACTCATTCCCAAAATGAGTCACCAGTTGTCTCTTCCCCCCAGGAGGTAACAGGCAATAAAATAAGTGAAATCCCTATTCTTCATTACTTTTTTTTATTCTTCATTACTGAACCCCATAAATCATCACTCATTCTGGGTAAGTGTTTATCTCCAAATACTTTATATGCTATTTCCTATAGTTTGAGTGAAATATAAGAAATATTCAAAGAAACCAATGATGATGTGTTTTTGCAGAAGCACATACTACAAGCAAGAATTTGAATTTTAGAAATTAGGAGATGTGGGCATCCATATGTGAGCTGAGCTAGGGAGAGTGAAGATTCATAAGGAGCTTTCAGGTTTCTTTTCTTTTTTTTAATTTCTTTTTTTATTTTAAAGAGAACAAAGCAAAACAAAGCAGAGCTGAGTAAAACAGTGCAAATAACACAGGATTTCAGAAAAAGACAACAGGAAATCAACAGTGGCTACCATAAAGTTTCTTGTTTTCTTTGAAATAGACATCCACACCTTCACATTCAAAAGTTAATGCAAATCGAGGAGCACACCACAGCTGCCCACCTGAAGGAGAGGGCACACCTGAGTGGAGGGACTCTGTTCCAGCCCCACCTGCCACTTCTCCCACCTGAGAAGCTCACCACAGCTGCCGGCCAGAAGGAGGGAGCTGGGCCGAGCTGCTGGAACCTCCTCCGACCTCGTCTGTGACCTTCTTTTGACCTGGAGAGCACCAGCACTACTGCCACTGCCTAGAGGAGGGAGCACCCTGCTGAGGAGGTTTGAGGCCTAGCTAGGCCATACGGGGACCCTCTATCAGCCTGGGGAGCTTTGCCATCCAAGGAGCTGGATGACTACACAACATCCAATCCCTGGGAGAGTAGGAGATCCTGGCTTTGGTGGGTTGGGAGTCCACTGGGCTTGCAGCCACACTAGACTGGGCTTAGCAGGATTTGGGATTGCCTGGATGACACCAGGTGGCCTTTTTTCCCTCAGGGGAGCTTTGCTACCAGCGGGGGAAACTGTGTAGATTGAGGAGGCTTTAGGTCTACCTGAGAAGAGCCTGGCAACCCTCTTTTAATCCAGGGGCTCTGCTCCCCAAGGAGGGAGCTACACTACCAGAGGAGTCCCAAGAGCCCAGGACATAAGAGACAATTTCCAACATGCCCAGGGGAAACTCTGGAACAACATTTGAAACACGGAAATACAGGAAAAAGACAAAACGCAATCTCAAACATCCAGCCCATCCCAAGAAAGCCTAGGAGCCATGTACATAGAAGAAAAGATATGCCATATACCTGAAATACCTGAAACAATAGTAACCAAAATAAAGAAGCAACTCCAGGAAGCTTTAAAGGAATTCAAACTAGAAATAATCTCTCAGGTAAAAGAAGAAATGATAAAAGAAATGGAGATGCTGAACATATCTAAAGAAGACACATATCTAAAGAAAAATTGGAGGAACTAAACAAATAGATAGGCTCCCTGTGTGAACAATATAAGAAACAAACAGAATATATAAAACAGATGCAAAGAGATATACAGGAAATTAAAAATTCCATTGACAGTTGTAAAAACTGCCTCAATGAATGTGAAGATAGAATTTCGGACCTCGAAGACAAAATTGTAGCTAGTGAACAGGAAAGGAAAGATTTTTTAAAAATAATAAGAAATCAAGAAATAACAGTTCAACACCTGCAAGATGATGCAAAGAAAAACAACATAAGGTTGATAGGGATAAATGAAAAAGAAGGAGACAACATAAAGGATGTCAAGAAGATATTTAGAGAAGTAATAGCTGAAAACTTTCCCAAACATGAAATTGGAAACTGATCAATGAAGGATCAATGAAGCATATAGAACTCCAAATAGCCATAGCCAAAATAAAACTACACCCAGACATATAATAATCACTATCCCAGAAATCGAACAAAAGAATGGAATATTATAAGCTGTCAGAGAGAAAAGATAGATCACCTATAAAGGAAAACCTATCAGAACCACAGCAGACTTCTCAACACAAGCAATAAGGCAAGAAGAGCATTGTTTCAGATACTAAAGGAAAATGATTTCCAACCTAGACTGATGTACTCTACAAAACTGTACTTCAAAATCAATGGAGAAATAAGATATTTCCATGACAAAGAAGAGCTGAAGAACTTCATAATCACCAAGCCAATCCTGCAAAGAATATTGAAAGACAGTTTAGATACACTTAGGAAAAAAACCAATAAACAAAGCAGACAATTAAACAGAACAAAAAGATAAAGATGCAACAGCAGAAATATAACATGTCAGCAATAAACCAATATATAATAGTAATGACCATTAACGTAAAAGGTCTCAATGCACCAATTAAAATAAATAGACTGGCAGAATGGATTAAGAAACAAAATCCAAATATACGCTGTCTACAAGAAACACATCTAACCCAAAAGGATACTCACAGACTCAAAGTCAAAGGATGGAAAACAATACTTCATGCAACAGGAAACCAAAAAAAAAGTGGGGGTAGCTATTCTGTTTTCAGACAATATGAACTTCATACCAATAATGATCAGAAGAGATAAAGAAGGTCACTCCATACCGGTTACGGGAAAACTTCAAGAGGAAGAGATAACTATCTTAAATATATATGCACCAAATTCCAGAGCATCCAGTTATATAAAACAAGTAATATCAGAAATGAAAAACCAAATTAACAGTAATACAATTATAACAGGAGATTTTAACACAACATTGACACCAATGGACAGATCAACCAAACAGAAAGTCAGCTAAGAAATAAAAGAACTGAATCACACCTGTGAACAAATGGAATTGATAGACATATACAGAGTATTCCGCCCAACAACAACAGAATACACATTCTTCTCAGCAGTACATGGGTCATTCTCTAAAATAGACCATATATTAACTCACAGAACATATTTAAATAAATGCAAAAGAGTTGAAATTATCCCTTGCATGTTATCAGATCATAGCGCTATGAAATTAGAAATTAATGATAAAAAATACTGCAAAACTCCCACAAACACATGGAAACTGAATAACACACTCTTGAGTAATCAGTGGGTCACAGAGGAAATTAAAGAAGAAGTTAAACAATACCTACAAACAAATGAAAACACAAATACAATTTACTGGAATCTGTGGGATGCAATGAAAGCTGTCCTGAGAGGAAAATTTATTGTACTGAGTTCCCACATCAGGAAAACAGAACAAATACAAATAAATAACCTGATGCTACCCCACAAACATCTAGAAAAAGAGGAGCAAGTAAGCCCAAAGCCAAAAGAAGAAAGGAAATAATAAAAATCAGAGCAGAAATCAATGCAATAGAGACTAAGAAAACAATCCAAAAAAATCAATGAATCAAAGAGTTGGTTCTTTGAAAGAATAAATAAAATCGATAAGCCCTAGCCAACCCTATTTTAAAAAGGGAGGAAAAAGCTCAAATTCATGCAATAAGGAATGCAAATGGTGAAATCACTACAGACCCAATAGAAATACAGAAGATCATCAACACCTATTTCAAAAACCTCTACTCTCAAAGGTTTGATAACACAGAAGAAATAGATTCCTAGAAGCATATGAAGTACCAAAGCTAGGTCAAGAAGATGTAAAACTGCTCAATAACCCAATTTCTATTAATGAAGTTGAAAATGTAATTAAGTCCTAACCTACAATGAAAAGCCCAGGCCCAGACGGATTCACTGCAGAATTCTACAAGAAATACAAAGAAGACCTAATGCTGACACTCCTCAAACTCTTCAATGAAACTGAAAGGGAAGCAATCCTTCCTAAGTCATTCCTGGAAGCAAATATTACTCTAATACCAAAACCTGAGAAAGACCCAACTGAAAAAGGGAACTACAGATCAGTTTCCCTAATGAACACAGGTGTAAAAATCCTCAATAAAATACTGGCAAATAGGATGCAGCAAATCATCAAGAAGATTATACACCATGACCAAGTGGGATTCATCCGAGGTATGCAGGGATGGTTTAACATACGGAAATCAATAAATGTAATCCACCATATCAATAGAGTCAAAAGTAAGAATCACATGATCATTTCTGTAGATGCAGAAAAAGCTTTTGATACGATACAACATTCATTTATGATAAGAACCTTGCAGAAAATCAGAATAGATGGCTTTTACCTCAACATAATGAAGGCCATCTATGACAAACCAACAGCCAGTATCATACTAAATGGCCAAAAATTGAAGGCCTTTACTTTAAAATTAGGCACAAGACAAGGATGTCCTTTATCACTACTCCTATTTAATATAGTATTGGAAATACTAGCCAGAGCAAGTAGACAATAAAGAGAAATAAAAGGCATAAAGATAGGAAAAGAAGAAGTTAAATTATCATTATTTGCAGATGATATGGTACTCTACATAGAAGACCCCCAAAACTCCATTGAAAGACTCCTAAACATAATAAATAAATTCAGCAATGTGGCTGGATACAAAATCAATACTCAAAAATCAATAGCATTCCTATACACTAACAACCAAATCACAGAGAGAGAAATAAGAGAGGCAACATGCTTCACACTAGCAACCAAAAAAATGAAATATTTAGGAATTACTCTCACGAAAGAAGTGAAAGACCTACACAGGGAAAATTATAATACACTGAAAAATGAAATTGAAGATGATATCAAAAAAATGGAAAGACATCCCTTGCTCATGGATAGGAAGAATAAATATTGTGAAAATGGCCATTCTCCCAAAACTGTTATACAGATTCAATGCAATCCCGATAAAAATACCATCAACATACCTCATAGATCTTGAGAAATCACTCCTAAAATTCATCTGGAGTGAGAAGAGACCTAGAATAGCAAAGACAGTTCTAAGCAGCAAAGGCAAGGCAGGAGGTATCATAATCCCTGACTTGAAGATATACTACAAAGCAACTGTAGTAAAATCAACATGACACTGGAATCAAAACAGAGCCAAAGATCAATGGAATAGATTAGAAGATACAACCACAACTACAAACACACTAAACCACCTTATATTTGATAAAGGGGCCAAACATGTTCACTGGAAGAATGATAGTCTCTTTAATAAATGGTGTTGGAAAAACTGGCCCTGCATATGCTGAAAACTAAAACTAGACCCATGCCTATCACCATATAATACTAAAATAAAATCTAAGTGGATCAAAGATCTAAATATTAAAACAGAAACACTAAATCTATTGGAAGACAAATTGGGTAAAAACCTTGAAGACAGGGGTAGGTAGAGAATTCATGAACAAGACTCAAATCGCACAGGAAATACTTCCCAGAGTCAATAATAGGATCACATCTTATTAAAAATTTTCTGCACATCAAAAGAAATCTCTAACAGTGAAAAGAAAACCCACAAACTGGAAAAAATCTTAGTGAACTGCCCCTCAGACAAAGGACTTCTGTCTAAAACATATAAAGAATTAAAAAAAAATCAGACCCCCAAAATTCAAAGACCCAATCCAAAAATGGGCATCTGAGATGAATAAACAATTTTCAGATGAAGAAATACAAACGGCAAATAAATATATGAAAAAATTTTCATCATCATTAGTCATTAGATAAATGCAAATTAAAACCGCACTGAGATTTCATCTCACTCCTGAAAGAATGGCCAGGATCAAGAAAACCAGCAACAACAAATGCTGGAGAGGCTGTGGGGAAAAAGGAACTCTCCTGCACTGTTGATGGGAGTGTAGACTGGTACAACCATTGTGGAGGTCAGTCTGGAGATTTCTCAGAAGCCTATGACTGGAAGCCCCATTTGACCTAGCTATACCACTTCTAGGTATATTCCCAGAAGAACTGAAAGCATCATACCACAGTGATATATGTGCACCCATGTTTATAGCAGCACAACTTGTAATAGCCAGATCTTGGAAACAACCTAAGTGTCCATCAACTGAGAAATGGATAAAAAAGTTGTGGTATTTTTGTACAATGGAGTACTACTCAGCTATAAGGAATGATCACATTGAGATGTTTATAAATAAATGGACGCAGCTTGAGACCATACTCATAAGTGAAATAAATCAAACTTACATGTATAAATACTGAATAGTTTCCCTAGTGTAAGAAATGATAAGAATATATAAAAGTATGTGGTAATTATAATTCTCAGTCACACTGGTTTGAAGCCATATAATGTTTTCTCTCATTAATTGGAGTGGTTTTAATCTGGGTTGCTTTATTTTATTGTCTGTGATACTACGAATAGCTATTTTGAAGAAAATAAGACAGCATAATAGCTAGTGCTGTTTTAATATCATCCTGTTTTGAAGCCCCATCGAGTTGTTGTTCATCTGTTTCCATTGGTTTTAACATGTTGTATCTTATTATATTTTAATGTATGCGATAGTATAAGCAAAATTTTTTATAGGCAAAGAGATAATATAGAAACCGATGTTTGGTTTCTGTTAGCTGGTTCTAAATACCCTGCAATACTTTCATTCTCTTGAATGGTTTCACACTGTCTTGATAAGTTTGATGCTATAGTATATGCAGTTAGATTCAAATATTTCAAGGAAAGAGACACTATGGTCACTACTATTAATGTCAGGCTATCTGGTGGTGAAACACAATGATGCTTAAATTGTTCAGTTCTGACCGGTGTTGTTCTATTGATATGTTCTTTTTTATCTCAATCTCCCCCCTTTTTCTTTTTTTAAAAATTAATTTATTTCTTATTATTTTTTAATTAAAGGAAAACTAAATTAAAAATAGCAGGATATATTATAGTAACTTTTTTGTTTTCCTATTAACCTAATTTGAACCCCTGTATTGTTTTCCACATCTTGTTCTGACTAATTTTATTATATTCTGTTTTGTTTAATAGTATCAAATTTGAGGGTATAGGCAACCACTTTGAAGGCAACCATATATTCTATGATGCCCATTATTGTTTGACTATTATCTTCTTTGGAAGTCCTGGAAGGTCTCCAATGTGAGTTTTATTGGTCTTGCTCTGTACTGTGTTGTTCAATGCTTATATACCAGCTGATATAGGCAACTCTTTTTAGGATAATAAGAGGCATAATGGTAACCATTGTTGGTCACCTAGTAATCTCTTTTTACATTATATACTATGTCCATCCTCCTGTTCTAACTGACTCTGTTTTGCTTTGTCACATTGGGTTTTTCTTTGTTCTGTTTTTTTTTTGTTTCTTTTTTTTTTTTCTTTTCCTCTTCAAAGAAAAAGTTATAAGAACTGTGGGAGTAATGGAAACCAAAATGTGTGATTGTTAGTGTAAAAAAGAGAGGAAAGAAAGTGATCTAAAGGATATAACTGCAAGTATATTTAAGTTTGTAACTCATATTTTTGTTGAGTTTTTGTTGGATCATTGAACAGAACTGTCTGTAATCTCACTGTATTAATGTCCACTTTGTATGCTTTAATTTTGTAACCTGGACAACTGTTTCTGAGATGACAATATGTAATCTATTAACTAGTGAATTCTTACTGTATATTTTTTCTCTTGAAATTCTGTATTACTTGTAGCCTTTTACTGTTTTGTTTTGTTTTTCTCTTTAGATTAAAAAAAAGTTAATACAAATCAAGATAGTATTAAAGCAGTCAAAACAATAGAATGAGAGCCTTAAGAGCAAATACTTGCTTAGGATTAGATTCACATTTGGCAACTTTAGGTCCTCATAGGACAACTGATAGATAAGATCATTAATGGGTATTATCTGCTATTTTTGGTTACTTGTAAAACCTATTTTCAGTTAAAAGCATATTGTACTCAAATAGGGGGTTTGTGTGGTGCCAGGGATTGGGAGGATGTCTCTTGTCACCATGGCAACAAGTATTTGCATTTAAGAGCAGGCTCCTCAGGTCACATTACAGTCACACAGCTTGGAGGGACCCTTATGAAGCCCTTGTAATCTTTTCCTAAGCTTGGTAGTTAACATTTTGGAACCTAATCATTAACCATGTTCTGTAACAGATAATTACTCACTGTGGTTAGCATTTTCTATCCTTGAGTGCTTTCTGAAATGCAGGGAGCACAAGACATTCTCAGGCATTTGTTCCTTTACCTAAGTAAAATAAAATAATTGGACTTTTCCTGTAAATCTGGGAAAGGTTGCATTTTCTGCAAAAGGATTGTGGTGATGGAGTGTGTCTGTCACTGCTACCCTGGAGGCTATGTTTTCCTTATCTTGTAGACCACAGAAGCAGCTGCCTCACTCCCTGGGGTTCCCTTTTCTGTGTGTTTCCCCTTCCTCCCAGAGATGGCTGCATCCCCATTAGACTTCTGCTGCCAATTTGTTCTGTGGAATCATTGGACTCATTTGCCAGGACCTATAAGGTGTTTTCTCCTGCTAACAGAAATGTCCCTTTGTCACCTGACCTTCCTTTCCCTGACTGAATATTTGTGTTAAGACCAGAAATTCATGTTTCCTCATCTGCCTAGCATGTCAGTCAGCACTTACTAGATAGAACACAGGATATACAAGTATAAAAGAATCTACAAGATTGACCTACAATGGCCCCCCATAGAGTCAGTCATGGAAGATACAGAGAGTGTCTACACAGTGGAGACTGAAGGATTTGGCTGAAGGTCTGGAGCTTGCTGCAGTGTCCTGTGCAAGCCTGTATCAGGAGGCTGATGCGTCTGTGATGGAAGGTAGAAGCATCTGTGCTGGAAGCCAAGAGATGATATCCAATTGAAGGTGAAGACTGGAGCTCCTCCAAAGCACAGAAGAGGATCCATCCTTCTTCATCTCCCTTTTATACTATCCAAGTGACAGACAATCACTTTAGGGAATTCTCTTACTCAAATTGATATAATCAGTCAATCTTCACATCCAGGTAAATTTCTCTTGCCCAAGGGGGAACCACCTTTTCCAAGTTTCCCTACCCTGTTGTATTTTTGAGGTATACACTCAGTGTTTCTGGAGAGCTAGAGAAAATGAATGTTAAGAATACATGAAAAAAAAATAGGACAACTCTGATAAACTGTAATAGAGGTTGATCTTAAAAACATCTTTCCAAGTTTGTAGATGAAGTATTACACTCTATGTTCCCATTGTTATATAGGTAGGATGCAGACTCAGTATGATAATAAAGAGTGCTCAACTGTCTTAAATGTTTGCTGGTTGGAGGGCCTGAATCCTACAGTTGGTGCCTGGGACTGCGCTGTCCTGGGCAACAGGGAGAGAGTAGTAAGAAAACGTGAATCACACAGTACTCCCTGCCCTTGCTCCTCTTTGTTTGTGGATAGAATTTGGCCAAAATGAACTTTCCAAATTACATGGGTACCGTGTTCTCTAAACGCTGAATCAGGACCCACAGCAAAGCCATCACACATGTTGGTGATGGAATCAGTGCCTGCAAGCTCATGTGACTGAAGGAAGCAGTCAAAGCTTTACTCTGAAAGGGAAAATGCTCAGAAGAGTCAAAAGATGAGTTTGCTGGATGAAGGGTGTAGAGGGGCCCAGGAGGTCCTGTTCCATGCTGAGTGCATACATAGAGATCCATTGTGATATATTACCATAACCAATCATGTATATGTAAAATTTAATATACTCATGAAAGGGTACACATACGTATTTATGAGCCACTCAAGTCTTTCAAACAGCAGCTGGCTGGGCTGCCTCTATTCTTCGATTTGATTTTAGCTCTAGCAGCTTGGCTTCTACAGCATTAGAGCTTTCTCCATGCTCCTCCCTAAAAGAGAATGGGACCAGTCCCCTGTGAGTGCACTCCAGGCCAAGCTATTATAATGAGGTCCTTTGTGACTTAGAAGCCAATGGGCTTCCACTATGAACACCCAACACTGAAACTACACATTTTTCTCTCTCAGTTAGACATCCTTTTATTTAATATGTGCGTACCTTATTAGCAGTAGGCATAAAATTGTTCCACAAATGAGAAAATCATCCTGGGCTCTGAGAATCTGGCTGTGCACATGTGCATGGTTAAACTCCTGGACACTGCTGTGACTGAAGGTCCTTGCAGGGTGAGGTAGTAGGCTGTGAGTGTAGACACTCCACTCCATTTCTGAAGGCCTAAGGCAGAGGAAATTCTTGACCTATAGAATATAATTATCACAATTGGAAGGTGGCCATGACTGCCTGTTCTTATACACAGTAGAGTATTTTGAGAATTTTCCTTGTCATAATCAATTGGATGTGATTTTTAGGGATGTGTACTAGGGTAGAAAGACAACATCTGGCTGTTTGGCTGATTCATTGTTCTGCATTAATTTGACTCTTTTTGGTTAAAGCCCAGGTGGTGACAAGCTCATTTAGAGTCTCTCTGCCTGTCTCATGTCAGCCCAGGAATATTCCAAAGCAATGTGCTGTTTATTATACGGTGTGAGTTGCTGGCCAGCCAGTTGGATCAAATCAATATGTGGAAGCCTTATTCATTGGCAAAATTAATAGTCAGGAGGCAGCTTATCCACACCAGTGCAGTGCCTGCAGGATGAGCTGCTCTGGCCCTTGATTTGCTGCAGTCAAACAATAATCCCATTGTAAACATCAACCAGGGAGGTGGGGTCCTTAGGGCACTGTCAAGCTCTGTGCTGATATCCATCCATGAGCTGATTAAATCTGCACTAATCACAGGCCCAGTGCAGGTGCCATCAGTGCCCCTGGATATCACTAAGAGGATCAATTGCTTTGGTTTGGAAAAATGAATGCATTTCCATCACTGATGGAAGCAATTACCTGGTAACCATGTCCTTGTACCTCATTATTATCTTTTAATTAGCACTGAGGATCACATTCCAACCACAACCCTGTTCATATTCTGTTCAAGTGCATGCAAACAAAGAGACAGAATCTCCTTAGGTAGACTAATATGAAACTCCTTTCAGTGGGTCTACAAAACTTGACATCAGTGGTGCCTGTGGCCTGAACAGTCTCTCCTCCCTTCCTTTCAAGCTCTGTGCTCTTCTGATGCTGTCTGTCTTTCCTGCTCTAGGACTTGTGTTTGGGAGCCTGTGTTTGGAACATTTTGTCCCCAGTCTACCTCACCTATTTGCATGTACGACTCTTTTGTGTCACTCATATCTCAGTTGGATATCACCGTCCCATGACAACTTACTGACCACCACTAGTAAGGTCTTGCTTTCTTGTTGTGCATTACATCATGCTAGCTGATCACCTTAATTCTCCTTACCAACATCTGAACAAGCTGTTTTTCTGTGATGTTGTTTCCCTAAATTCACCACGATACCCTTAGCCACTGGCACCTGGTCTGGTGCACAGTGCTGCTTACCAAAATCCGCTGAGTGAATGATTGTCTCTGTCCATGAATGAGTGGGTGAATGGAGGCTTCAAGGGGAAGAGCCCTTCATTGGAGGACATGGGTGCATCTTGTCAGGACTCTTCCTGGACACATCAAGGGGATGGGCAAGTTACCAAGCTTACTGGGTTAACTGATCCCCCAGGACTCCTGAGCTCTGAAACATTTCCAAATGTTTGTTCTAGTTGAGAAAGGAACAGGTTGGGGCATGAGTATTTTCTAGTATGAACACTAGATTTTTCATCTTGCAGGGAAGCAAGCCACAGATATTTGCCTAGGATGAGATGGAACTACCTCTCAGGCACCAATGTGCAAATCACTGAGAAGCTTCCACAGGACTTAGCACACACTGGTCAGGATTCCCATCTTGGAGACTGGCTTTCTCTTTGGTGACCAGTGGTCCAATAAATACTAACAGGCCAGTAAAACAGAATATTGATAAGTCAGTACCCTATAGTCTGTCATAGAATAGTTTCTTCCTAGATCTCAAGGTTTCTCTCTGAGGGCTGATGAAAGGTTCCAAGGCAAAGGAGACTCTTCCAGTGAGCTTAGGTAACAGGTCCTTGTGTCCCTGCCCTGAGGGAAGAGGGCTGCCTTTGTCCTGCTCTGTGGAAACCCTCACCTCTTGCTCTTGCACAGCATCTGCAGGCTCAGTAAGCTAAGTAAGCACATTCCACAAGTTGAGCTATCTACCCAGAGCCTGGCTTTAAAAGGCACTGCACCTCAGAAGGTTTACTGGACCCATCCAGGACGAGAGGGAACAAAGTGCGGCATGCAGAGTCTCTGGTATTCCACTTGCAGGCACATTTCCAGAAGAACTGAAAACATACCACAGTGATATATGTGCACCCATGTTTATAGCAGCATTATAATAGTCAGATCTTGTAAATAACCGAAGTGTCCATTAAATACGGAATGGATAAAAAAGTTGTGATATTTTTATACAATGGAGTACTACTCAGCTATAAAGAATGATCACATTGAGAAATCTATAAGTAAATGGATGCAACTTGAGACCACACTCATAAGTGAAATAAATCAAACTCACATATGTAAATACTGTGTAGTCTCCCTAGTATAAAAAATGGCAAGCGTACCTAAGATATAAAATACTCAATAAGTACAGTAAAAGGTTAAGAATCTGTTTAAAGGGGAAAAATAATATCTCAGGGAAAATGAGGAAGAAGAAAAATGAAGGGAAAAGAAAAAATATCTAAAATTAGGTAAACACACAGGATAATTAAGATGATCATGCTACAAATTCTACAAGTTCTTAGAACAAAATGCTAACATTCGTAGGATTGGAACAACCGTGCATATTATTGTATGGTGATCTGAGGAACTTTTGAAGATCATTATGTAAAAATATCAACCTTAGTTATGCTCCTACCACCTTGATTTGAAGGCCTGTATTTTCAGTGTTTTGGGCTCTTTGCTATTGGTATCTATTTATCTTTTTTGTTTCATGTTTTTCTAGGAATTTGTTTTGTTTTTCCCTTTAATACAGAAAGGATAGGTACACATGTAGATTCTCATACATGCATACAACTTCTCCTAAACAGTTTATGAGAATTGATTATATAATTCATGATGAAATGAATAGCTACTTTGAAGAAAGAGACACTAAGGTACCCAGTGCTGATCGCATAGTAGCATATTATCATGCTGTGAAATCCAGAAATACTATTGTTATTTGTTCAGAGTGATTGTAGTCTGTTTTGTATTGTTTAATTTCAACATACATAAAGATATGGACAGCTACTTTGAAGAGAATGAGAGATATTATGGCAGCCACTATTAACTTTCTTTTTGTCTGGTTTTGCAGACCTAAAATGCCTTCATTATCCTGTTCTGATCAGTTTAATACTATTTTGTTTTGTATGGACTCATTGTGTGTGAAGATATGGACAACTATTTAGAAAAAAACAAGAGACAAAATGATGGTGAAGATCTGTTTTTGTCTTGCTTTGAAATCTGTGTCTCTTACATTGTTTTCTTCTGATCTGCTTTGTTCTGTTTTGTTCTGTTTAATTTTACCCTCTTTAAAATAAAATTTAAAAAATAAAAAGAATACCTTATAAACAAGATTCTTTGTTGCCCATGAAAAATCTTCCTTTGTTCTACATGAAATCCCAATTATTTTATATCTCATCAAACTATGTTCCCCAAGAAATAATTTTATTGGAAAAAGATTACATTTTTATGGGAACCTGCATTGGATTTTTAAAAACTGATTATTTTGTACAATTATATTAGGTTTTTGGCTATGATCAAGTATTTCACAGAAGAAATACAAATGGTCAATTAACATATAAAAGAAAAAGGAAGTAATGTGTCAAAATGAAACTCTTCTAGGTTCCAAAGCATGTTTTCATAATTTATTAGATCCTTTGAGTGGATATAATAGATGCCATGCCAGCCTTGAGTAATGAAGTGAGAAGAGAAAGCTTTGTCTGTTCCTTTGCACATTTTACTGCATCCACTTTGCAGTGGGGAAACAGATGCAAAGATTAAGTCGGCTGCCCAAATGCATGAAGGTGGAGCAGCAGTACAGTTCATAGGTTAGACCATGTGTCCCTTTGACATTTCAACTATTACTGAGTAAAGACACAATTTGATATTGGTCTCCTACATTATAGTAATAAGAGACAGACGATATGCAAATAATATGCATTTTGGAGAAAAATTCAGCAGGTGAAAAGCAGAAAATCAGGAAGACCCAAAGAGGTGGTGTTTAAGCAGAGCCCTCAAGAAAGGGAAGCAACCATGGTGTGAATCCTGGAAAGTGTGCTCCAGGCTCCAGGCAAGGAGGCAAACAACCAGAGCAGAGTGAAGGCTTCGTGAGGGTGGGCATATGGGAGACCTTCACATTCTGCTCTCAGGCTGAACATTCATTGGACAACTTTTAGCAGAGAAGTAAGAGTCCAACCTAAGTTTTAAAATAAATACTTCCTCAAAATATTACTTTCTCTGCCAGATGGATAATAAAGGAAAAGGGCCAAATGAGGATGGTCAGAGACTCCACTTAAGAGGACGTTATCATTAACCCAGGCAAGAAATGATAGTGACTTGGACTAGGATGGTAGTTGTGAATAAATTAGAAGTGATTCTATTGGGAAAATAGTTTTAAAATAAAGTTGATAAGATAGAAATATAAATTGGTAAGGCTATTATGAAAACCCATACGAGGATCTTCAAAATACATGAATTACACTCTGATCCAGCAGTCTTATTTCTATGTGCTCAGATAATTTGAAATCAAGGTGTTGAGTAGATAACTGAACTCTCTTGTTTATCGCCTTATTATTCACAGTTACCAAGTTATAAAGTCAACCTAGTGCTAGATGGATGACTAAAGAAAAATGTAGTATATGTAAACAATGAAATACCATTCAGCCTTAAGAAAGAATGAAGTCCTATTATTTATAACAACATAGATGAGCCTGGAAGATGTGTTATTCTGTGAACTAAGTCAGGTACAGATAGACAAACTCCACATGACCACACTGCTAGAAGTGAGGGAAATAGGAGATATAGGCCAAAGGATACAAAGTCACAGGAGGAATCAATAGTCTGAGATTCATTGCATGACCTGGTGGATCTAGTTAATAATCACTTATGTTTTAAAATTGCTAAAAAAGTAAATTTCAAATGTTCTCAACACAATAGTGTGTTAGGTGATGGATATACCAGTTAGCTTGGAGTTTAATCATTCCACACTGTACTGATATTGGTTTGTACCCTATAACTATATGTAACTATAATTTGTCAGTTTGCTGTAAAACCATAAAAAGAGCCATCGAGATTTATTGATGGGTTATTTGTATCAATGAGAGAAAAAAAGGAGCCAAAGGTGATTCTGAAATTCTCACTGGAGGTGTGGAGGGAAACTATCATTGCAATACAGCAGATAGCTGCCAGAAGGAGGGGAACAGGTGAGCCCAGCTTAGGTGTGCAGTCAGGAGAGGTTTGCCGCTCTCTCTTCATCTGCTCTTTTCATTGCCTTTTTGGTTTTGTCTGATTCTGACCTTAGGACTTTGTGAGTTTTCTTTTTGTTTTTCTTCTCTGGGAGTTGTCACCACTTGATTCTGGCCTGCTGATCTTGAGATTGGCCCCAGGGTTTGCTACCAAGCCAACCGGCTGAGAAGAGGATCCCTGGTTTCTAGGACCAGGATCTCGACCTTTGTATTGAGCTCAAGAGCCCCCTGCTGAGGACTCATCTGAGACCCAGCTGGCAGGGCCACAGCTTTAAGCAGGGAAGACACCTCACTCTTCAGAGTGACCTCAGCTTCTCTGGACACTCAAGAGCCGGTGGTGTCAAGGTTCAGCTATGGAACAGGCAGTAGGGTTGGTTTTTCTCAGTTCATGAAATGGAAATGCATAGTTGAATAAAAGTTAAATTTCTCTTTCCAAGCATTGGCGGAAATGTATTCTGAGTGGTCCAAACAAAAGTTTCTCCCCCATGAAGGGAGATAGGTGGCATGTTCATGGGGCAGGTGGGGAGCAAAGTGCTTGGGGCATCTGTGGTCCACAGATAATGACCTGCTCAAGGACTGTTAATGGAAGAACATGACACAGAGAGTCCATTCTGAGCTCTGAGCTCATGCACACCAGGCATTTCCAAGGATGTACACAGGGAGAACCACACTTTCCCTGTAGACATTGTCAGGAAGTGATAATGCACATCTGTAAGTCAGAGCTCGTCTTACCAGGGAAGAGAAGCTTCTCAAAAATCATGCCTGGGTAAGCCTTTCCAGTCATCTCAGAAGTCAGATATTTCTCTCTGAGGCTGAAGGCTGTGCCAGCCTGCTTTTGTTTGGAGGACAGAGTTCAGAGATGGGAAATGAACTGATCTCACAAAGTGTCACATCCAGATTATACCATGTTGGAGCTGATCTCACAAAATGTCACGTCTGGGATAGACGGTGTTGGAGCTGCACAGCAACAGATGCCTCTATCCAAGCTCAAGGCATTAGCTGAGGCTCCCTTGATGCCTCTGACCAGGTCACATGGGTGGCATGCAGAGTCAGATCTTGGTCTTGTTCTGGATTTTTGCTTAAGTGTGTGGTGGCTTGGCACTTGTGCCAAGGCACAGATCTGGGCAGGGTGGCTCCTCATGTACCTGTGCTCACGTGAAACTGGGTACAGAAGGACACAGTCATGGGCTTAGGAATGTAAGTGAAGTCACACGTTTAAGCTTCTCAGCACAGTGCAGGGTATATAATATGAGATCCTCACTCTGGAGATGATAACAAACCACTATGTTACTGGCATAAGCAATGGTTATAATTTTGTAATTATTGTAGGGTGTATTCCTTCTCCTTATTAAAAACAATTTACATGAAAACTGTGCTTTGTGATATTGGTCCTGTCTATCTCACCCTTGCCACATCTCCTGGTGAAGTAGTAAAATTGGTGATATGTAGCAGAAAAATGTTATCTTCACACAAAAAACCCTGAGGTCACTTGAATTCCCTCCTTGTCTTCTCCCTAGACTTCAGGAGACAGACAGAATGTGGGAGAGACAGAGTTTGGTGAGTCTACATTAAGGAACGCATTCTGTGATGGCATAAAATTAACAGGAGCAGAAGCAGCAAAGTAAGAAAACGCAGTTACAGAAGAATATTTAAAATTTTTATTAATGTGCTTTACTCGTATACTAATGGGGTGTAGTGTGGCATTTTCATCCTGCATAAATTATTGATTGATTGAAGTCAGGCTTCCTTTTGCCAGTCCTCTACCGGACCCTTTCCTACTCTTTAGTAATCGCGTCCCATTTTTAAAAAATACATATATGTGACTCATCATGGGGAGTTGGTAAAAATGTACCTATTTCATCTTCCTTATTTTTGGTACTGAGAGTTTAACTCAAGACCTCACATTTGCCAGGCAAGTGCTTGCACCACTGAGCTAAATCCCCAGTCCCTATTTATTTCATCTTAATACTTTTTAGTCCTCTTCTTCTGCCCATCCTTCCTCCTCCTTCTGTCTCTAGACATTCTTCTCATTTGCAAAAGGTCTGTCTCCACTGCCTCTAAACATTTTTATTTTGCTCTTTAAATTTTTTATCTTTCTCATATAAGAGAAGCCATTAATGGTGTGTATAGTGTGTAAGATAGATGACCATATTACTGAATTTCTGTTGGAACATTGAACAGAAGGATTGCACTGTCAATGTTTGAGTGTCTAACCACTATTTGTGCTTTGATTTTGTGATTTTGGCAACTATTTTTTAAGATGACAATGAGTAATGCATCAACCAGTGAATCTATGATGTTAAATTTTTTAAAATTCAGTATTGTTCTACCTTTCTTTTCTGTTTTTCTATTTTCTTTTCTTTCTTTGAAAGAAAAGACAATATGCAATATAACAACCATTGTTAAATTTTTTTCATTCTGTTTTGAAAACCCATATTGTTATTGTTTTGAGTATGCTGTTATAGTTTATGTCTTTTGCTTTTTGTTTTTCTTTTCTGATTTTTCTCTTTAAAAAAAGAGAAGCCATGCAAAATTTAAGCTTCTCTGTCTGATTTATATATTTTTAAAAAATCACCTTGTATTTCTGCTTGGTATCTTTAACATGGAATCTAAAGCTTTCCTATATATACTACAGTCTGAAATTGAGGGGTGAACTTATCCCCTTCATGTCCACACGTGGGAAAGTCTGGACCTATTGGTGTCTGATGGCTTGGATTGGATGACTTATTAAACTCACTTTGCTCCTGCAAATCACATTCTGCTCACAGCTAACTACAGACCTTCACTTTTAAGATCAAACTGTCAGTAACTGATTGGTCAATTTGAGTAAGAAACACCCAACTAAATGGGATAAGCACAGTTTTGGGTTTGGCTGAAGGGATTTACTGAAGATTTGCAGGGTGTGCATGCTGGCAACCAATAAGCTTATCACCTGGACAGAATAAAAGGGAGACAAGGAAGGAAGGCTGCCTCTGTTTCTTTGAGGAGTCTTTACCCTCACCTCAGACGTCCTCTCCTGGCTTGCAGCGCAGTTCGTTTAATCATCTAATACAGATTCACACAGGTCACTACAGTGAGCTCCAGGCTTTTGACAGGAACCTTCAGATC